TTGCGACTGCTTGTTCATAAGTGTTTCGTATGAGCATAGCGACTGTCATTGGACCAACGCCTCCTGGCACAGGGGTGAATGTAGCCGGCCACCTGGAATTGATCTTCTCAGAAATCAGACAGTACATTCATTCAGAATGGCTCGAGTTGAAAAATAACCTTCTTTGCTTCTTCGAACTCGACATCCCCGAAAAGTCTGTTCTTTTTTCCCGGTTCGGTTGCCTCCTCCACATTGATGCCACAGTCGATGACAACCGCACCTGGCTTAATCCAATCACCTACAATATGACCATTAACTATTCCCGTATTCACTCTACACTGCTGCCGCATTTTAAAACCAGGACCCACTAACGCGAGCGCACACTACTTAGAATGAGGTATTGATTTTACGCGCAAGTAATCAATACCCATTTTCATGTGCGAGCGCCGTGGGTGCCGTTTAAAGGTGAACAGCTTGAAGCGAATTTAAATAGAAATACCTTTCACGAAATGCTTCTTTCCAATTGCCACCACCAGAATATCCGCTTTCAAGCACTGTTCCTTGATGTTGCGCGTTTTCGAATGACAAATGGTCACTGTTCCATGATGCCACAAGAACAGTGCAGCCGCTGGTGCGCCAACAATCTTCGAACGTCCCAACACGACAACATTTTTGCCACTGACGTAGTTCTCGTCACCTTTAAAGGGCAGAAATTGAGCAATACATAGTAATGTAGCAGGTGATGACTGCATTCAGATACATTTAATGTTCACCCTTTGGATACCCGACAAGAGGCCCGTCGCGGCGGCAAGGCAGAAAGCAGACGGGTCACGGACGAGTCGCACCACTCACTACCTTGCTTTTGCGTTGAATTAAATAGAATGCACCATAGTGCGTCTCATATCACATACCACGCGCTGCAACTCGTCCACTGATCCGTCTGTGTCTCTGCCTTTAGGCCTGCTGTCGGGTTACACTCCCCTTTCCCGACCATCTCTGCTGAATTCAAATTAGTTTCTTTCTGAATCCTGTTTTTTGAAGGTACACATCGCGATCCAAAATTGAGGATATTTCATTTGGAGATGAAAATAGAGCCACGAGGACCGGCGACGAAGAATACCAGGAGGACCGGCGACGAAAAAACATCAAAAACACAAAAATAAGCTGGTTTGTATGCTCAGCCAGGGAGTACGAGAAGAAAAAATAGAGCGCGCAGAGCACGATGAGTACGGCGAAAGAGTACGCCGCCCGGGAGGGCATGATACATGGCCGCTGCATAGTGAACAACGGAAGGACCACTCAGGGCCACTAGTCGAGAACATTGGCAAGGCTCTTGTGCACTTGTCAGGCATTTTTGAGCTGTGGGAACGGCACAAGCTGGAGACAGACAGGAGCAAGCGAACCACTGTAGGGAATTACCCGTGATCCAATACGTGCGGATCCGATAATAGCGTGGTTACCTGGTCGGAATATTCGCCTGTTACGCTGTACCAGTAATTGACCAGAAGCGATAAGGCCAAAAGAGAGCAGGAAAAGACCGGGCGCACTCCCAAGAATAGCGGAGTGAGTGTGGCTCAGGTCGAGGACGAACATTTTATTCAAGAGATGCAAAGACGAAAAAACAAGAGAAGCTTTCAGGAAAATATTCTTGGAAGATGCATTTGGAGCACTGTGCGGGCTCACGTCAAAGAAATACCAGGCGCCCGGAAGAAAGACCAGGCGAGAAGAGGTGAGAGAGCACAGGGACGTGGAGACGGCAAATATTTGCGCAGCGCAACATGCGCTGTGGGAAGGATTCAAAGATTCTAATGCGATTCCAGGATAACAAGTACCATGAGCCGAGCTTTCGCATTAGTGCTCATAAAATTCGAAAATGATTTCCAAAAAGTCAGTTCTCAAGTTTAGTAAAGCGCAAATATCAGTTTTTAATCCTTGTAAATTTACAGGGTAGTGACCACAATCATAAGAAAATAACGACTACCAACCTGTTGCTTTTTGGACAAGATACAAGCATCCGTAAGGAGTGCATGGGAAAATTGTACGGCGAAGTTCTCCCCGCATAAGACGACCGGCGTTCTCTCTCGTCAGCCCGTCGACATCCTAAGTGAAAGCTCTTGGCTGTCGGGCACTGAATAAAGCAAAATTGAGAATAGAGAATGAGGAACGATCAATGTGATAACAGCGACTAAGGTTCTGTTATGTATTCGATTCATGACACTTTTTCAGAGCTTGTATCTCTGAAGATTGCGGGTACCGACAGTCGGGGGCGAGAAGGTAGAGACGCAGACGGGTCGGCAGACGAGTCGCAGCACGTCTTGTCGATGGGGAACGTACCACACATCCCAACGAACGACCTATGCAATTTGACGCTAAATCGCTACAGTACGTGATGCGACGGGGTCGGTGTCCCGGTCGCCGTCTTCACCTTCTTGCGAGCCGACAGGCCTCCTGTCAGGAATACCCGTCCAGGTGCAAGGAATTCGGTCGTACCTATTGGGCAATTGATACTCTGCCGATGGGGGTTACGAGTTCGCTTTGTTACGGACGTTTCATAAGTACCATTCCTCTATCGAATAGGCAAAACCGCATTCCGTGAGTATGAACACCCAAAAATTACAATTCAGCTACATGAACGAGATATTATCGTTGGTCGATAACCACGCGCGTCGCCGCAGGGGGGTTCTTACAGTCGAGTGGCAGCTAAAGTAAAGAGAATGAGAAAAAAATAAAATATCTAGGAACTTCTCATGCTGAAAATTTCAAAACGTATTTTAGTGAGCTAGTGAAAGTGATACTTTAGAGGGGTATTTGTTTGAATCGGAGAGCAGAAAGGCTGCCTACACCTTTTTGAGAAGGAAAACGCGTAATAACTATTGTGTTGGCGGATAAGCATACATATGAGTCAAAAGTACAATCCGACGCTTCGAAGACACTTAGTAAGTTGCATGCTTGGCGTATCTCCCAAGGGAATCTCGAGGGATTCTTTCAAAGACTCAAAGATTTTAATCAGGGTACTTCCGGTAACCTTTGTAACTGGTCACCATCAAGAGAATGGCAATGGGAGGCATACAACGAGATCGAAATCCCCTCAGGAAAGACGTTGCTAACGGTACCGTTCGCGTAAGTGTGGACTGATTCGACGTGAGTAGTTCATGAGAAATGTGTACAAAAACCTTGCAGGAACTCATTAACGTGGCAAGAATTTCGTAGGTATCTTCTACTGTTTATATTGGAGACGATATCGCTGGACGAACACCTCTGCTTGAAGGGAAACTATGTAACTCCATCTTCACAAAACACCGATGCCTCAGAAGCCGTAGTTCATAAGAATACTCAAAAGCACGAAAAACTAGGCGATTTAGTCTCGCTGGGCAATCGAATCACTTGATAAAGCACGAATTTCAAAAAGAGAAGCATGGGGTGCAGACCATACACCACAATTGACGACGACCTCCAAGTAAATCTAGTAAGTGATGATAACCGATCTTTCTTGAATGATAGCTGTATTTAATTGAAAACTGATAGAATACAAGTGCAACAGGCTAATAATTCACTTGGCGGAAAAATATATTAATGTTGTGAAGGCACGTTCGTCAGGGGGCAGTTATGGTCGGCACCGTGACGCTTTCTGTTTTTGCGAAAGGGATGTGCTTGAAATTCCGACTGTAAAACATTTTTCACGATCGTTCGCGGTGGACAGCTTGTCCGTCTAAATGTGCTGAACTCCGCATAGACGTGAACGAATTACACGTCAAGCCTTCACAAAACCTCATGCGTGGTGAAATAACTACGAAATCCCATCTGGGACCTCCCTGGGCCCCGCGTTTGCTGCCAGCAGACGTCCAGGAGATGAGTTCTCACCTAGCTGTTACTCTTCGGCAAATCCATTTTTTGTTCGGAACTTTGGAAACGATCTTTTGCGCCCACACACATAACATGTTTGCTCGGAAGCAAAGGAGGTTTTCCGTGCATAATGCCTTCAAATCAGGTATATCCGGTCCAAGTGATGGATTTTGGAGTAGAGATGAGCGTGGAACATTGCGAGGCTAAACCACTGTAGCTCAGCTAGGGGCATTGGAACCCAAATCACAATAATTTGTACGCCTTGGTCGCCGCCTTGTCGCACTTGATAGAGCAGTACTGGAAGGTTGAAAACACGTGGTCCACTTGTCAGTCGCTCTATGCTGCGCGTTCACTAGCGGTCGATGACCTCGGTTCCTAGCGCAATTAGTGCCCAGAACTTTTCACCTTGGCCCACTAAGGTGCCGAAAGTCTCAGGAAATATGCGGAAATCCGAAACAAATTTTCAAAGTATTGGCCAAGCTATCTTTGGGCCGTTAGAGCTACCCCAACTCATTTCCAATTAGTTCATTATAATCGTCCGCAATCAGGAGGGAGAAACTGGAACAATAAGAAAAATAAAAAAAAATAAAAATACGAAAAAAAAAAAAAAAAATATAATGTATGCTATACGAAGTTATTACGCGCTCTAGAAACAGATCAGATCAGAGGTACCTGCACAATAATACCATCGATATTGTCATCCTTGTTCAGTTTCAATTTCAACCTCGAGCTCTTCTTGAGTGATCGTATCAGGTAATTTAATCAGCTTCCCCTCAGCACCAACTTCAGCTGCTTTTTTGATTTTAGCTCCCTACATAGACGTTCGAGTCGGAGCGATTTCCCACCTAAAATATAATACGTCTTGGCGAAATGGTGGTCAAAAAAAAAAGGTGCGTAATTCCCCATGGAGTAGAAAATACCTGAACGATAGCCAGAACCGCGTTGAACGACGGATTCTGCTGTCTTTGTCGTTTGATTTTTTCCGCTACATCAGCAAGAAGACCTTTCGACACCTCGAGTCCACTTATCAATTGCGCGGTCATCCTTGAAGTAAAAGAGAGCGTATTATGGAAAATACTGCGTTGATAACAATAATCGAAGGCGATAGTGAGAACAGCAAAGTTCCATGGAAAGTTCATGGTCATTTGAGAATGAGATGAGATCCGTAACGGAGCATGACTACCACACGAATTGTGGCCGTGTTCGGAATGCGTTTTTTGGCGAGTCAGCGAACTGGACGGACGTTCAAGAGATAGGGCAGTCGTGTGATCAATACGCATCTAGATCATTTTTCCGCGATAGACCTAAGCACGCAGATGTCCCGATAAGGCAGCCCTTGAACGGCGATTCCTTAATTAAGTTTAATACAGTTCCCATAAATAAATAAGAAGGTTCAGATAGGTTGAAACTTGAAATAGCTGGCATGTGACGACTCCTTGGGCATACGCCACGCGCTTGAATTTCATTCAGCATCGTGGGGGTGTTTGAATGCGTAATTGACCAACACAGTGCCTAGTGAAGGCGGTCGGTGTTTAAATCAGTGTTTTGATTAGGCAAATCTTGCATCATTCAACTCTTCTCCCCTAACCCCTCCATCTGAAAAGGAAGGAAAATCCTGGACTGTGTAAGATCCGGGGATGATTTTACTTCGATGACCAATATTTTCTCTAATCGTGCCAGTGAGGAGAGATGTGCTCCTTGGCATGAATTTGCTTCTGCCCATATGAGACGCTGATTCAGTAACAGCTAATGAGCAGCGATTAGCTGAGGAGCGCTTCTCTTCGAAGACCTGAAATATTCTTATAAATTTGCAGCGATAGTTGGTGGTCAATTTACGACATGTTCACACTGTAGTTTCATCAATGGAGGAACCCAAATTCGAGATACCTCCAAAATTTCCCCTGATTTATCCAGTTGTTGGCTGAACACTCTGGTGGGTGGGTTTATTGAGTCCATGATAGGATTGGAGTAATTCTTGCGCACAAAAACGAAAGCGGAGGTTGAAATATGTAGACCGGAAGTAGAACGAGAAAGAAATTTATTGAAAATGTTGAAATTCAGAGCTTTACAGATTTGCCATCAGGCTGTGTCGAGGTGACGGGAAACTGCATGCGAAAGCAAAAGAGGATAGGCGAGAGAGGACAACGGATGAGAGGGCGTAGACACGTAAATCTACGAACGTGAAGGAGCGGAAGCGGATGAAGCGGCATGGCAAGACTCTAGCGCTTTTGTCACGCACGCTCGAAAACGGTGAACGGAACATCTGCAACATTAATGGACATCTTCAGTCATCTTTCCGAGACAGCAAAACACTAGAACAAATTGTGGAGTGTGCCTTCAAGTCCACGTGCATAATAATAAATTAAACTAGTCTTGGAAAATTGACCGTCACCCTTATTTTACCACGTGCCGAGTGTTTACTTAGAAAATGCTGCACTTGCCTAGAGGTGGAAAAGGGCCAAAATCATACGTGTGAAATCACTCCAAGAACATGCGTACATTTCCTATTATTCGATGTTTACCATTAACTTCACCCTTTCTTCAAGTACATTGAACCTGAACTGGTAAAGGACGTGCATTTTGGCCCGCACTCTGATTCATGTTAACCATCCGTGACTTTCATGATCGACACGCCGCAATGCAGTTTCTTTACCAATAATAAATGACATTTATCACAGTCCTTTTTACGTGAAAGACGTTGTTGACACGCAATGGTTCAACTGCGGCTTCTGGTTTCGGTAGGCTGAACTTGCTAATTTTCGGAAGGGTAGGCTAGGGATAACATCTACCAGGAGCATGAATTACACTCCCAGTATCTTTCCCAACAAGCTTCGAAGGAAGGACAGACTGCAAAAGTTAGCTGAGCACACATGTCATTTACAGCAATACAAATTCATTTTTGCAAAGAGAGAGAAAACTACCTGGGTGGGTAAACTGAATTTCTTGTGCGAGAATTGAAAAATAATGGAATGCTTACGTACCCTCTATTTCGGAAGACGAGAAGAGCGTCGAGTGCAGACCACACACCACAAGTGACGACGGCCAAGAAAAAAGCACTTTTCCTTGGCCGTCGTCACTTGTGGTGTGTGGTCTGCACTCGACGCTCTTCTCGTCTCCTGAAATAGAGAGTAGTTTCCTTCTCGCACACAAAAAATTCCTAAATGAATGAAATGAAAGAGAAATATTTTTGGATGTTTATAGTGAAGGAGCTTGTTGTATTTAGAAGCGTTGAGCTCCCTGCACCGAAGTGCCCCCTCCCAACTTTGCCTGAAGCAACACCCCTTTTTATGGTTCTACGAGAGGATACGTGCAGAGCTCTAAGAACGGAAACGAACGAGCGCTGATCAACCCTGCCTACGTTGAGAAGTAGACTCATAGATAATTATAGTTTCAATTCTTCTGCTAATCAATAATGCTATACAAGTAGGGTGGGCACGCCGCATTTTTTGAACAGAAATGTATGTAAGTGGGACTGCTGCCTGCTACTGTCACGAGAATCGGGGAATTCGTGAGCCAGGGGGTGTAGCCAATCTAGGGGGTGGGGGGTGAGGGCAGTCACTTGACATGCGTGAAAAGCTGGGCGTGCCCACCCCACTTGTATAGAGCCTATTTCCCAATCAGAAAAGCTTAATTGGTTTCTGGTTCAGGTGGCATCCGTTTGAGCCCAGACCTGCAACGATTTTGGAGGTCATGACTGAACCTTCGGTGTGTTAGTTCGACGCGAGCATTGATTGTTTTTTTTTAGCAAAATCCATCTCTAGCCTTTCTCTCATTCCTTTCCCTCTCACTTTCGTCTCCCCATTAGCTCAAATGGCTAAAACCCGACAGCCCAACCACTGATTCTTGATATTGTTTATATGCTGAAGATGTTCATTTGCATATTTGTAAATGTTCATTTTCACATTGTGCTGATAGTTTTAGTGCCAAACTAGTCCGACCGCATGCTCGATTTTCGAATACGCTAAGCACTTAGCATTACTCAATGATTTATGTGTTAGTTTTGCTCTTACCACACCCATCCCCGAGAATGATACACCGTCAGGCCATTAGGACGCCTTCATAGTTCGCGACTCCGTCCGCCGCTCTTACCCTCTTTGATCCCTCCTGACAGTTCAGCTCGGTATGCGCATAACACAGGATAAAGGTCGATGACTTATTCTTGTTAAGGACGTGCCCACATATCCTACTTCCTTTGTGACGCAATTCCATTTGAATGCGATCATCTCAGTTAGAACGTGACTTTCGGGTTAGAAGCGATGCAAAAGCCAGTACATCTCTATCCTCTCATGCAAGTTTGTTACCAACTTGCCAACCTTGCAAGGAATGCTCTAATTTATTTATTTATTTCTTCATTTATGCGTTCAATGACGCGCCATATTGAAGCATTTGGCTGTACGCGAAATCATCCTGCAGACCAAGAAAAAAAAAAAATAAAAAAATGGAATGAACGGGGAATAAAATAACCAGACTAATGTAGGCCGCGTTCATAGTTCGCGACTCGGGAGATTAGGATAGTAGGCGACAGGATATTAGGATAGTAGTAGAGTAGGAGATTGCGCTGACAAGATTGGATACGTATCGATTGAAATCGCTGGAGAGTAGTAGATTGGGCGACTTCAAGCGAATAGATCAATACATATCTAATCTTGTCAGCGCACTATCCTAATCTACTACTATCCTAATCCTACTCTACTACTACTATCCTACTATCGTAATATCGCAATCTACTACTCTCCAGCGATTTCAATCGATACGTATCTAATCTTGTCAGCGCAATCTCCTACTCTACTACTATCCTAATCTCCCGTCAATACATATGTTTTTCATTGTCGCGTACTATCCTAATCG